TCTGATATCTAGTGTTACTCACGAATTGGGAGCAGTAACTCTTGGTTGAGGCTGTCCGTGATCTTATCTGTAGTGAGGTGGTCTGGTTGTGCTTCTCCGGGGGGCTCTGAGGCTGCAGTTGCGGGCATTCCTGGACATTCTGGAAATAGTTTAAATTCCCTTTTTCCAATGCCTTCCTTTACTTTATTGGCTTTTCAGGAGGCCAGTGTGGATCAGCAGCCTGTTGCTCCTTTCCTTAGGTTGGTAAATCAAATGTGTGATGATTTGGGTTCTTCCCCAGTTGCTTTTGAGTGTACGCCTTCTTTGATGTTGGAAAGGTCTGAGGACAAATACTTAGTTCTCCCTCCATCATCTGATATTGCAGTTTTTGCAGGAAGATTTACTGCTCAGTTATGTGAAGGGACAGCTATGCCTTGTCCACCACGTTTGTCAGAACAACATGCTTTAGCCTACCACTGCCAGGTTGAAGCATATTTAGACTCTCAGAAATCAGATCCACTCCTGGAAATGTGGGGTTCCAGAACAAAGTCTGTGGTCAACCAGAAGAGATCGCAATTTCCTAGGATTTGTATGACCCTAGCTATGGTGGTGAGATATTTATCATACCTACACTTTTTATCGGAAGCCTCACATTGTCACATCAATTTGATGACGAGTTGTGACCATTGTTAGCATCCACCTTGGTTCGATTGTCAGCTTCTGCACTTTCCCATGTCTCTTGCCTGGTATGTTGTTTGGATTTGTTGGGTAGAGATGTGTTGTTGGAGGGCATTCATCTACCTGCTGCCACCCTCCATGAGTGATGTGAAGCCCCCTTTTTCCAAACCTTGATTTTTGTGGGCATTCCACTGTTAGCATCCACCTTGTTTTGGTTGTCAGCTTCTGCATTTTCCCTAGTCTCTTGTCTGGAGTGTTGTTGGGTAGAGATACTTTATTGGAGGGCATTCATCTACCTGGTGCCACCTTTCATGAATTATGTGAAGCTCCCCTTTCTCTGATTCTTGATTTTTGTGGGTATTCCAGAGTCTTTGGAATCAAGGGATGATGCCACCCATCTGCATTCATCCCTGTCAGCGTTGAATTCTCCACTTTCCTCGGCTTCTACAGCTGGTTGTAATTTTGCCCTTATTCAAGTGTATCGACCCCCAACATCAGCCCTCAGGCCATTGGTACTGAGAATATATTCCACCCATATCCACGAGGTTCTTCAGTTGGAACACGGCCAGTGGCAGCAGTGAGTACTGTAGGCCTCAGGAATCTGTGGGGGCTCGGCTCAAAGAATTTTTGGAAGTGTGGAAAACCTTTACCACGGATCCATAAGTACTACAGATCCTTGCATCAGGAGTAGTTGTTCAGTTCACCATTATCCCCCCCAACCTGGGGGTTTCTACCTCCTGAAGATCCTCATGTTTCATAACTTTGCTCCATGACTATCAGAGATTCGTTTGTCAAGGGAGCAGTGGAGAGATTTGTTTCAGTTATTCCAGGGTTTTATTACCATCTTTTGCGCCCAAGAAGATGAGAGATTAGCATCCATTCATCAATCTTTCATGTCTAAATCAATTCCTAGATCCTCCAGAGTTCACAATGGAGTCATTACTCACCCTGCATTGGCATTTTTGCCAGGACTGTGGATGACCAAGTTTGATGTTGCCAATGGCTAGTTGAACATTACCAGATCAGAGTCATTCTGCCAATATCTATGTTTTGTGCACAGGGTCAGTTGTTGCAGTTCAGGGCTCTGACCTTTGGACTTGCATCAGCACCATATGTGTTCTGCTGCATTGTACGAACCTTTTCTAGTCACCTCCATTTTCTGGGCCTGTGCACACACCATTACATGGAGGACTGGCTACTGCTAGCACCATCTCATCAGTTGGCAGAATGTCACACCCAGATTCTAATTTCCAAAGCAACCAAGGTAGGATTTCTTGTCAGAGCCAAGAAATCTATTCTCACTCCAACACAATATATTGTCCATCTTGGTGTCTTTTTACATACATACCTCATTTGGGCTCAGATAACTCCCATCTGGCTCCATGCTGTGGAACAAGCAGTCTGACTCTTACTCACATCTCATTCTTCCCCTGTGTGGATGGTTCTCTCTCTTTTTGGGATGTGGGCATCACTCGAATCCTTCATTACTTTGGGATGAGTGCACATGAGATCCCTTCATTGGTATCTATGTGACCAATGGATCATGAAGTTGATTTCATTTTAAGCTTTGTTCCTTTCAAAATGGATAAAACCTGTTATTTGCTGGAATGATATTTTGAGTACTACACATTATGTAAGGATATTGATTTCAGTGTCCATTAACTGTTGTTCAGGTGATATCTAGAGGTGATGGCCCAAGCTGTATTGTAATGAGAATGATCAGTCATGTGGGTAGCACTAATTGTCTTGGGTAAATATGAGGTTTCTTGAGTGCTAAGAAACATTACATTTGGTCAATCTCTCTGGAACATCATCTTGAGTGAGTATAGTCTGAAATGGATCCTAAAGGGTTAAGAACTCAAGAAATTCAGGCAGAGTGACAGTCCATCATATTTAATATTTAAACAAGTACTCACACTGTGTTATGTTTAATGTATAATAAAGATTGTGCATTTTGTTTTACACTTTATGTCTGGTCTCATTATATCATTTTACATCAACTCATTTAGTAATAGGTTTTGTATTATTCAGTAATAAATGTTGCAAGCAAATTTCCTGTTAGCTAGCAAACCTTTTTAATATAGCTTGAATGTAAATTCAGCTTCACATGGATATACCATAATGGTGTAAGTCTACATCTTTTTGATGTGGAAATACAGATATGTGATTAAACATGACATTGTAAACATTGGTCCTTTGAGGCTGTTCCTGCACACCCACCCTTGAGAAAAATTAAACCAACTCTTTATTTTTTTAGAAAATCATCAATTCCCTTTTGAACTTATAAAGTCTTAGCCTCCACTACTGCTTAATACTCATGGAAACTTATTCCATTAGACAATTGTATTGTTTTAACTGTCAGAGTAAAGCACAAAGCAATCAAATACTTTTATCATATCAATCCTCCAGATAATCTTCAATAAGATCACCTCTTACCCTTTTTTTCTCAAAAGAAAATAAGAAATCTTAACCTTGTCCCCATAAGATAAAATTTCCAGTTCTGGAATTATCCTTGTAACCCTCCTCTGAACCATTTCCAATAAGTCAGTATTTGTTCTAGAGCTGTACAATTAATTGATTACCTACCAGAATTGATTATAGCTATTTATGTCACATAGAATAATTGGTTAATCAAATTACAACTAAATTGACTTATGAAAATAATAAGCTAATCAAAACTTATGTTTCCGAATATTACTGTTTTTGATTCTTCTCAAAATCCAAGTAATCAAAATATTGGCATTATAATTTCTCATTATTACTTTTGATTAATTCAAGGTTGTTAACTTTAGATGAATTGTGGCACAGCTCACAAAAATAATAAACTAATCAAACTTGGTGTTTCCGATAATTATGTGAAGACATCTATTACTTGAATATAATTGATTAATTAGCTTGAAGATTAACTGGTTAGAAATTTCCACTGATTGGCCTTCAAAGTAGTTCTTTATACTTTTTAAAAAGTTTTTTTTATTTGCAACTTCCAACATAATTTACTTCTACATGCACTACAATAATAGAATGATCCTTGATACCACCAACTAAACTGTCAGCATTCTAATTTTATTTTTCTGTACTCTTCACCTTAACAGTTTTATCAGTATACTTAATGGGAGAGTCTTCCACTATGTACACCTCTTGATCATCTCCTTTTTCACTGCAGACAGCCAAAGGCTCAACTCTGTTAGAATGGTACTTCAATGCTAGCTGCTTCTAACTTTCTTTATTTTGAAATCAGTTTTAAAGTCGATAGATCCACTGACAGATTGTATTTTTCTGTCTTCTTGTATATTAATATAAGTCTCTCCTAGCCTGACATTAAATACTATTATTTTGTATTTAATTTCAGGTAAAGAGCACAATCCACATACAGAGAGTTGATTACATTATAATAAGACAATTTTGAATACGAAAATCAACAACCACTGCTGATTTAAAGTTGCAATGACATATCAGAGCTACATTTTGAAATAGTTTGGCAATTTGTAGGTAGTATAATGCCACCAAAAGCTGATAGCTTTCAGAAATTACTAAGATGGGGATATCCCTTGTACTTAATGCAATTGGAAAACAAAGAAATATGGATCAACTTGGAGACCAAGACCATTAAGAAAGGGACATGAAACAAGTCATGTCCCAGTTGTATTAAGCAAAGTGTGGCATAATATAAAAGATGATAATTCATGAACATGAAGGTCAGTGACAAAAGCAGTCCATGTGTCTCAGGCAACAGTAAGCAACATAATCAAAAAGAATTTATATTAAGAAAAAGAGTCACAATAGCTGCTTCCACAATATATCAATTTAACATCACATACTTCGGGCAGCTGGGTGATGAAATAGTCATTCATTCTGTCCCATGGTTCTTGAAATACTGATCAAGTCACCAGACACAGTGCTAATGGATATCTGTGCGATGAGGTTGTTAAAACAGGAACTACAAAACTATTGTTACTGTAAAATAGATGGAGCTTTATGGGATGGAAACTGTTGTAGGATTATTGTCAATATACACAGTTGTCAGAGAGAGAATGACTGAACATGAAGTCCCAAAATCATTTTATTATATTGTACTCAACCTCTTTATAGATCAATGTTTGTACTTTCTTCCAGTTAACAATAAATATATGTGTAAAAATTACAAATTGAAAATAGGAATAGCTTTGAACTTTCTTCCAGTAAACCTAAAGAAAAACAGAAAGAATATTGCTGTAATTCCTGCAAAAAATAAAAAAAAAATAAACTTGCTATTAAGGTTTGTTAACAGCATAGTGCTGATAGTAATTTTACATGTGTATGTTTAGCAAGTAGTGTCGGATACATCATAAGTTTTTTTCTTCCAGAAAATGTGATTATGAGAACTATTTGGCAACATTGCTCCTCCCTCAGGAATCAAGGTCTGCAGCTATGGTAATTAGAGCTTTTAACACAGAAATTGCCCAGGTGAGTATTGAGAAAAGAGAATATTACAGAGTTTCTAGGAATCTGTTTACTATCTTCACTTTTAGTGCTATATTTAAAAAAAAACATTTCACAATAGCAACTGCCATTTTTTCCATAATTTCAAAGAAGTATTAATGTATATCTAATTACAGAATTGCAGAAAAAAACAAAGACAATTTTACCGTTTCCCAAAAATTTAATTTATTCATAACTATGGTTTCTCCCACAAAGACATCATCAGGTACAATCTGAAATGGTTTGCAAACACGTTTACATACAGTTTAAACAAAGAACCAGAAGTAACCTTAATATTCACTTTGAGACAACTGGAGAGGAGCTTAAGTTGGTTTGGTCATTTAGAAGTTTTTCTGGATTTGTTTTAGTCTTCTATTTATTTCTAAAATTTTCAGCCTATCTAGTTTTTACCTTCTTCACTGATATGCAAAATTTTGCAGTTTTTTCTGTATCAAATTGGTGTTTAGTTTCAATAAGGTGGAATGCAAAAGTTGAATCCATTTTTCTTAATTTCCAGCTTCGAGAATGTTCTTCAATCCTCATTGCTATGGAATGTCTCTTGTTTGACCTATGTTAACAATATTGCAGTCTTGACACATTAATTGGTAAAGACCCCTGTTGCTCTACTTTTTGATTTTGTCTTTGTTATGAATAAATTAAGTTTGGGGAAATGCTACAATTGTCTTTATTTTTTCTTCAATTCTGTAACTATGGAGTATTATCAAATACTGATGATTTCAAGTATCAATTATATACTATATTTAATAATAACTTGTGTAGCATTTAAACCCAGTAAGACTTATTATAATTTAAATCATGTTATTCTGTACTTATGCAATATGGGTTTCCACTGAGAAAAGTGTGTGATATCATTTAAATTATAACTTATTTGTGATGTGCAGCTGTGAAAATGTCTATTGCTGAACTACAGAGCTAAGGTTGACTGGGTTACAAGATACAAAATATTGCTAATAATTTAATCATTTATGGGACAAAATATTTATTTATGTTCTGGCTTTAAATTAGATTTCTAACTTCTATTCACAAAGAGTTTTTTTTTGTGTACATTTGTATATAGTTGGATTTTTTCTTTTTTTTTGTAGGTGAAAGATATGGTGTCTACAACTCATGCTGGAGCCATGAGGATACAGTTTTGGAAAGATACACTAGAGCAGACGTTCCAGGTTTTCGTTTATTTGTTCATAGTTTTGAGCTTCACAATGTTGTTACACCTGTACTGAAAGTGATGCAGAATAGATGTATAGTGACAGAATATACAAATATATTACATATTTCATTTTGTAGTGATATATATTTGTGTTTATATTCTGTCTCTAGTTGAACCTTAAGTTATAGTATTTTATTGCTTGTGGTTTCAATTTTCCAAGTATTAGTACAAGTGCAATAGATGACATTAAACACTCAAAATGCTTTCTCTTTTCATACTACTCTAACTTTAAAAACTAGATGTAAAGCTAAAATGAAATAATACTTCAATGGAAAGATTGTGATAGGTGTATTTATGATTATAAAGGGAAGTACTGAGTCAATAAAGTAACAAACTATGTACTAACAATACAGTTAGGGAAACATATTCAATAAAAGTGCAGAACTCTACCTGAATATACTAGAAATTAAAATTTTGACTTAAAATTTGCATGAGCAGGGATAATTTCTTTGTGTAAAATGAATAAACTTCTGAACTCTATTTTATTTTCTTGTAACTTTATCAGTAATTCAGTAATTAGAGTAAAAAATCCTTGTCATCCTCTAGTCCACCTCATTTTTTACCATAGCAACATGCTCTGGTCTGGACAAGTAGCTTAGTTAGTGTGGTGTTGTCAGATTCACTTCTTTTTCTTTGAGTAATTGGGTAGGAACAGCTGGATAGCTGAAGGCTCATCAGGAAACATGTTGCAGAGCAAAAGCCTGAACACTAACTTTGTACACAGTAACAGTCTTTATTCACTACAAACAATCAATCAAACTAAATAACAAATGTTTTTTTTTTTAGTGAACAGCATGTACGTGAATTTTCATTGAAAACTCTCAAGAGTTCAAGTTAAGTTAAAAGCTGTTAAGTTATAGCTATAAAAAGTTATACCAAACATACTATTGTATAGAGAAAACAATAATGTCATTTCTCTCAGAATGCAGTTACCACCCAGATAATCAACTGAGAGTCATTCTTACAACAAAATGGAATATTATAATGCAAGGGCATCATCTGACTTGCCACTAGAAAATATCACTGTAGCTCTCAACACAGGTTGTACTATGTTATAGCAGTATTTTATAATAGAGAGTACAAGTGATGTCCATGTTGACTGACCCAGTTCTGTGAGCAGCTAAAGCAAGAAAACTTATTATGTTTTAAAGTTTACAGTGCTGACTGGAGGATAGAAGCCATTTTCAACTTCAGTTGTTCCTTTGACTGGGTTTCTATATTAAGTAGAAAAGGCTCAAAGTACATAGCAATCTTGAAAAATTAATTTTAACTAAAGGGGTAGGAAACATATGGCAAGTTTATTTACCGCATTAGTTTTAATTTCAACTAGGGATTGCCAGTTCTCATTCTGTCAAGAACAAGACAATTATTTCACTGGTTTCTTCAAATTAAATGTAAAAAGAATATTTACTATGTTTATATGAATAGTTTTATGAATAATATAACTGTGTCACAAAAACTGTACTTTCTAGTGGCTATTTCTAAAATATGTGTTAGGTTATTCAGTTCCCAAATAATTAAACATAATCAATTTAATGTGAATGATATGTTCTTATGGACATATGAAATGAATATATATATTCATATATAAGCATATGTAAAACATGATGACATAGAATAAGTGTAATGAAACACTTTTTATAAGGTTACTTACCAATTTCTTTTTTTCACTCTTGCTCACATTAAACGGTGTTATGCCACATGTTTCTTCTTTTCTAAGATTCTGTTTTAAGTAAGTGTTTTCTACTTTACTTTTCTCAAAATATGTTATTTTGAATTGCACACAGGGCTTAGTTCATAACTAGCTTTAGAGGTATCATCAGAGAGTGATAAAATGGCAAAACATGGGTGCTATTTTAACTTTATCCGCATTAGAGTTAGGCTAATTATTGAGATTATTAATTTATTACATTGAAGTAATCAATTATTTTCACATGATAATACCAATGCAATCTGCCAGGGACAATGCATTGGTACTGATAAATTTTCTATCTAACATATTTGTATAAATAATCCTTGGACCAGTTGCACATATTAATCACTCTTAAATTGTTCATCTCGTATCCATCTCCATAATTATTTGTCCATGTTAATGAGGAGAACATGAAATCAGGAATGAATGATAAGTTTAAGCATTTTTGGGTGTTTGTTTTCAGATAGTGATAAATGGCCTTATGTCATGCTTTTCTATGAGGTTATAAGATATAATTTGTAATCTTTGTGTATGACTATTTTAAAATGCTTACAAGGTTGCTGTAATGAGCTGCTTGCCATTATATACCAATATCATATCTGGATGTAATGTATTTTGGACATTTAAAGAAAATTTTTAATACTTTATTTAAATGAATGAGATTGATTACATATTGTGGAAGCTAGTCTTTCAAGAAACAGTTTGCAGTTTAATACATCAAAAAGTCAAAGAAATAATGAAAACGTGAGGAAAACTTTGTCATATTTAATACTCTTCAAGCTTCACTGATCACAGATGGGCTAAATTAAAATTCATTCATCTGTTAAAAATATCATAAGGTATTTTCAAATTGCATAGAACCATAATTTAATTTAAGGAAAGCACTTTTTGTGCTTTATACAAATTCACTATTTTCTTAGAGATTATATAAATTTATAATATTTAAGTAAAGTCTCTACACAAGACTAATATTCCTATTTCTAACTTATTTTAGTTTTTTTAAAGACGTTTTCAAACTACCCTTTATTTAATATGATAGGTTAAGTCAGATACAACAATTTAGAATTAAGTTACCTTTTTTAATCCTATCATGTTCACAGCATAGTAAAAGCCTGTAACAAGCTGAAAATATGATTACTGCTTCATGGATTTCCCCTCTCTACATTTTCACAAGACCACTAAAACTACTGAATTTTTGTTGCTGAAAATACACATCAGATTGTGACAATGATTCAAAATCAGAAAAAATAAACATAATATTCTCAGATTTCTATTGGACGTTACCCTTGTACATGTCCTTTAAAATATTTTCACTAGTGTGGTAAAATGCTTCATGACCAATCAGAGTCATTAACATTGAGAAAAAGAGTATAAGATTGTTATAAATAAACTAGTTCTTTGATATAAATAATTGTAAAAGAAAATAATATAGAATTGTTAGAGAGAGCTGGGATATCTAACTTTAGTATACTATTACCAAATAAACAAAGCCATCAAATAAAAATAATTGTTCTTAGAATTCATGTAATAAAACTGGTAAAATTATTATCACAGTGTAATGAGACAATACATATAATTTATTAAAACAAATTCATTCAGACTATAGAAAAATACAGTACAACATTCACTGTTTAGTAAGGAAACTTGTGATTACTGCTTTGTAGAGATTATAATGTTCCATAAAGTGGAAATTGAAATATTATAAGAAATATTATATATTTTAGAGCTAAGTCCATTTTTAATACTTATTTATTGTTTTAATGACATGTAATTTTTCTGTTACAGTGGCTTTTAAGTTTTAGAGCAATCAAATAATCCTACAGTGTTTGGCACAAAACAACAGAAGGACAGTAGTATAAACTCTCAAGTGAAATTTGCGATCCTGGAGCTGGATACACATGTATAAAGTGGGTTGTAAATTGTTTAGCAGTATAAACTTTAACCAAATACAGAACATTTAGAAATATTCTGCAACATTTAACTGCGGTATGTTAGTTTAAATGTATAGAGACCATTTAAATAATGTTATGCAAAAAATAAATAGAAATACATTAATCAAAAATGAAGGTAAAACAAAACATCTTAAGATAACTGTTTTTTTTTTTATTGCTTCCTGCTGTGTTACTGTTGTCATGAAGCATAGCTGTTGGTTGTTTAACAAAGTCACACAAATAGCAAAAAGCACACATGTGACTGTTATTGAATAGAGCAATTTTTACAAAAGTATTTTTGGCAGAGTAGATTTATCTAATAAAAATAAAACATTTGTACATTTGTTATGCTATTATTTTAATTGCATTTCCTCACACAATGAGAATACGAACTGTTTTTTCAAAAGACCATTGTTGATTTTTGTTAGTTTATGACTAAAAATTGTTGTAATGGTTGGTGTTTGTTAATATCATATGTGACAAACCACATAAGAGGCTAGTGTGATTTTTTGTTTAATCAGCTGATGAAGACACACATACTTGATTATAATAAAAAGTTGAAATTTAACATAAAAGCTAAGTTACTGAATTATTTAAAGCATTACTTCACCAAAACTACATGGATGGGTTTTTCTTTAAGGTACCCTTCAGTTGTCAAGTTATCACACTCGACTACAAAGCATAAGATTGTTAACTGAGATAGCTACCAGGGTGTGATATATGAATATGCCATGCATTTCTGTCTTCTAATATAATAGAAAGCTGTTAAGCTGATTTCCTTCTAGTTACCGTTGTTCCTTTTATTTTCTAGCTAACTAATGAATGAATATTTGCTGTCAAATTCTTATCAGTGATATAAGTGTTGCTATCAGTTTGGGCAGCTTCTAGCTCAAGTTTTCTAATGAATTGTATGGGTGGATGGTTATTATTCATTGCCAACTTTTACGCATATATTTGCTAAGTATGAAATTCTCCTAATGAAAGAACTTTTAGCATGACATATTTCCTTCAGCAATTCGCATAAATAATGATGCTTGATACAGCTGTACAGAGTACATGCAGGTGATGACAAGAAACTGTTAATCTAGATTCCATGGCATTACAATAAAGGAAGTTCTTAACACTGTTTTAGAAAGAAAAACTATCGTCATATATTTTAAAGAATCTGGTTTGTTCTGTAAAGTATAGGTCTGTTTCAAATAATAGGGTTGCGATTCTAAAGCTAATGTTGGTTGCTATTGAGTGTCACTTTTTTACTTGCTGTGTTTTTTGGTGTGTATTGACAAAAAGTCATGATATCTAATAAAATACACATTAGGTGCGGCCAAAAAA